AGAGGGAGATAGAGGGAGAGAGGGAGAGAGGGAGAGAGGGAGAGAGGGAGAGAGGGGAGACGCAATGGGCTGCAAGGGATGGGAGAGGAGCGGAGGGAAGCGGTGGACGGGTTACAGGAAAGGGAAGCAGGCAGTCCTTTGTGCTTCAACCCCTCCCTCCCTCCCTGGAACATGGAGCCTTGAATTTATTAATTAATGTTGACTATTTGCTCGTAGCCTGACGGGTGGGTGGATGCCTCGCCGCCAGGATCCGCCTAGATCCACCTCGATCCGCCGGACGGCAGGGAGTCATTCCATCAGCCACGCTCGGCTCGGCGAAATAAAAGCACAACTTTCAGTTCGCGAGACACAGACTCTGTATACATTTTTTTTGTGTTTCGACACGTTTAGTCTCACGACGGGCACATGGTACGGCCGTGCGATGGCCGGGGCCTTGCTATGGAAACCCCTCTAATTATCTCTTGGACTCAAAGTGCTTAGTCAGCCCCCCCCCTCCCCTTCCTTTTATTCGATCATATGACACCGAGTCCAGTGTAGCCTTCCGCTTTTCTCTGCGGCTCGAACAGCGACACTCTCAAACACGTTACACACGGCGAGTTTTTGTGAAGTTTAGAGTGGAGCGCTCGGTGGATAGTGGTGTGTCAGTTTGTACTACTGTGGGTGCGCGTTGATACGCTGTGCATCGATTGCCGTTCGCTCGGCGCCTCACGCCAAACTCGAACCGAGTCAGAAAGCGTCCAGCATGACGACCGACAGGACGATACTATCAGCGCTTTTTCTGTGCTTAGCCGTAGGGGAAGCTTCGGGCAATGCGGTCACGGTAAGACGCCTTATTCAGTATTCAAGATTTTGGAAAGCGCGCGTAACAGATGCAGTCGGCTGCAGCACTTAGTTTCTATGTCAGTAGCACCATCTATAGTATTTGATCTTACTGTCAGCACCTTTGGTACCCTGCAGCTCTTCAGCTTACAACTCTAAGAGCACAACTGTGTAAATCTTAGGATTCACTGTTAAAACCTTACCAAGCAAAATGGCAAATCCTTCGTAGATATGAAGGATTTGGAAGCTTCGTAGGTAGCAAATCCTTCGTAGGTACGAAAGATTTGGCACTTTGCTTCGTAAGGTTTTGACTGTGTTTAAAAACAGCACACCCACCCTTAAGTCATCTCAAAATTACACAGTCTGGGCACGTTACTTTTTCTTCCCGATAACAGCGGGAACTTTTTTTCTTCTTTTTTTTTTTGTAAAAATGTTTGAATCTGTATTTTTTTTGTAGGTTCTATCGTCCCGTGTGGCACGTCACCCTGAGGTCCCGTGCGCCCTGACTCTGATATCTCCACACTTCCAATTGTCTGACAATGAATCTCCCGCCTACGCCCCGCGCTTGTTCGTGTTTGGCAAAGCCGCTTGGATGGATGAATTTCTTCGACGATTGCGGAGCGTTGCCACGATTTATCTGTTCATGCCGACGGAAGAAAACTTAGCAAAGGTATCGTGCGCGGAACTTCTTTCGTGGGCAAAACCATAGTGAGATCACTAGGAAAAATCGCAAAACATGTTTTTTACGATCCTATCCGATTTCATCATATTTTAAATTTACATGTCTCGCTTACAGTTTAACGACTTTTTCATGGCTATGATGATGCCGTCTGCGTCAATTGTGCTCCGCCTCACGGACGTGGGTCCCTACACTTCCAACACATGGGCCCCAAGTTTTCCTGACAGAGTGCCATTCATCCTCTGGGTGTCATATGATTCGGACGCCAAAGCAGATTATGCAATGTCTTCAATCAACCTGGTGGACACATGCCGAAGATTCTTCCGCGTGATGGTAACGGCACGACCAAGAGGCACGACGCACGTCTTTTCCGTACCAATGCCTTGCGACATTGCCCGTCCGCAGGCATTGGCCAAGGCCGAGCTGCTTGGCGTTTGGTCGCCCGGCGCTGGCTGGTCGGGCCCGGAGCCGCTCCTACCGCCACGCTGCGCCTCCTGGCGGCCCCCGCCGGACGGACAGCCTTTGCTCGCGGAGTTTTTCGAATACGCCGGTTACCCAGTTTCAGCGGATTACTTCAGGAGGACAGAGGCGCATGAGGTACTGCAATTGTTGAACCACTCTTACGGTTTAGTGTTTGAGGCAGAGGCCAAATATACGACCCAGCTCATGGCGCCGTATAGCGAAGCAGGCAAGTGCCGCCTCGACGCACTGGTATTTCGAACAAGGGCTGCGCTAGCAGTTCACACACACACTGAACTAAGTTTCTTCCCTTGGGAGCATGACTCTTTGCTAGTATTTGTGCCTGCTGGTGCAGGCAAGCCGCCCCCTATGTACCCCATTACCGACGAGTACACCCCCGCGGTTTGGGCTGCCCTGGTGGCCGTGGTTCCCGCCGTGGTGGCCTGTCTGTACCTCATGCGTCGCGACGACACTGTCCAGGAGCTTGTCCTCCAGACGCTCTCGCCTCTGCTGGGGCAGCCGTTCGGCGGTAAGCGGGCGGGGCCGCGGATAGCCGTCCTCGGGGGATGGCTGCTGACTTGCTTGGTTGTGGTTGCCGCGTATCAGGCGCAGCTACGGGGCTTCATCACAGTTCCCCCCCAAAACGGAGAGATCAACTCCTGGCAGGACTGGCTGAAGAGTGACCTACTTTTATCAACTCCGGATGGAATTCCAGTGTCCTCTGTCATTGCTATGGGCGGTTTAACAGGTTTGACCGAAGATAGAGTAATTCGGAGTTCTTCTGGTATGGATCTATACAACTTCTTTCGGGCCCATCACAATGTTAGCGTATCGATGTGGAAGAGTGATTTTGAAAATTTCATTAAATACAAATCAATACAAATTAAAGAATTAAGTGGGGTACACCTTTTTGCAGCACCTTTCCTCCATCTTAAATCTAGTTTTGTGACCACAAAGGGGTCTCCGTTTGAAGTTCCCCTTCGGAAAATTTTAGGGCGTATTCGCGCAGCAGGTGGTCTCCGACATAATTGGAAGTATAACCAATATCCCCCGCAGCGTACGCCATACAAACCCATTCCCGTCATTAATTTAACGCCTGTCTTGGCAGCGTATATTGCCGGTAACGTTTTTGCAGTGTTAACTTTGTTACTTGAGTTCTCTATGCGAAAAGTTCGAATTTGTACCTTAAAAATCCTAAGGGCCAGGAGCCTTGTTGAAACGTGAGCACCTCGTGCGTGGCGCATAGCCTGCCCCGCCCCACCTGCTCCCGGGTCATTGCCTGCTACTAGTAGCGGGGAGCGAGCGCGCAAAGGATCAGGCATTCACCCTCAGATTGGGCCTCGAGTCTTGTAATTCGATTAACAACTTACTCGCGCTCTATCGCCGCGGCGTGGCGGCGCGCTCCTCGGCTCGCATCTCTCTGCGGGGCATACAACAAAACTTGTTGTTGTTGTTGTCTGCTGCTTCAGACAGGTGATGTTTGTTTTGTCTTATTGCGACCCCCTGATGAGAATCACTAATGAACTCCTCGTGCACTCACCGCTGCCGCCCCCGCCGCCCTCGCTCCTCACTCCTTGACGCGTCGACGAGGCGAAAAAGGGCGCAGCAAAGGAGCGCCAGGGCGTCGGCGAGCAGGACGGGGAGATGATGTGGGGGTTGCAAAGGGGGGGGGGGCGAGACGCCTTTTACAACTTCCATATAGTTTTACGAGTTGCGTCCTCCTGCTGCTCTGGCAGCGCGTCTGCAACAGCGGCGGCCAGGAGGATCCA